GCATTTGTAAACAAAAATCCAGAATTCTCTCATTGCAATCATCTGATGGGAGGCAGGTTTGAAACAGAGAGACACCGATTGGGACCCAGAGTCACTTTTCTTGGGAAAGAATTCCCTGTGAGAAGGATCGGTGTTCTGCTGTGTCCTGTTGTGCTCCGTGGTAAGCAGAGTCGTATTGGGGTGAACAAGGGGAGTGGGCAGCATGGCAGTCTGCAGGCAGCTGGCTGAGCACGAAGGTGTACCTGCGGCACTACCACCACCTGGTGTCTGCAGCCTCTCATGAGCAGTGAGGGCTTCCCGGGGCTGAAACCAGAGCTGAGAATCCTGCTCCCTCCACTCCCCTGAACCTGGACTTCTCCCTTCTACCTCCCTGCTTCCACTGGCCTCCTACCTTTCTCTTCCATTCTCTCTGCATACTCCTCATGAGTTCCCACTGCTGAGGCCTTGGCCAGGAGACCTGATCTGAGAGTTACAGTCATGGGGTGAGTGGGCTCCTAAGACCACCTATATTTTGCTCTCCTCCCCAACCACCGATGTCTCTCCTGGGACCAGATTTGACTCAATTCAGACGTTTCGATTCAACTTGCAAGCGTGAGTGATGTCAATAGAGTAAAAACCCAAACCTGTTGCCTCAAGGCCCTTCCGAGCTACAGAGAGCCCATCAGACTTAGCACACCGACATCCTACGGGTTCCCAGACCTGCACTTTTGGGGCCTGCGGGAAGGCTGGTGAGCTCAAAGTGCCAGCTTTGGGGTTAGCAGGACCACTGTGTCACCAGGGCTCTTTCGAGTGCCAATGGCAGCGCTGAGTGAGAACTTACTGTATGTACAGCAATATCCCCCAAAGCTTTCTACATGCCACATTTTATTTCCCGCTCACAAAAATCCTGCAGGGCTGGCCGAATTCCTTTTCCTACCTTACAAATGAGCGATGTGAGGGACCAGAGAGATTCAAGAACTCTGTTTCCGACCACATGGGTGATCGTGTAAGTAAGAGTTCATCAATCAGGGAGTCCTGGTGTACCTCCAGACAGCCCAGTTCATCTCTGATATGGTATATGGAACCATGCCAAGCCCACTGCATTGAGCTGGTTCTGCAGAACTATTTCCCAGGGTTTCTGAGGCTGTAGATCTTGACAGAATCAGACTACTTCACCACTCCCCTGTGGAGCAGATGACCGATTGCAATCACCGTCCTCTCAGTTAACGGCCCCACACCTAACGTGCCATTATCAGCAAGGCTCCCTTTGAGGTACATGTAATCAGGATGATGAAATAAGTGAAAGTACCTTTTCTTCCAAGATTGTATGGTTGAGATGGCACATACAGGAATCCAATAGACTAGAGCAGTGATATGCAGATGCCATATCCTTGCCTGCTGAAAGTGAGGAGGACTTGAAGCACTTGGTGCTGCAGATCGAGAATTGCAGCCTTCAGTATAAACTATGAGTCAATGTAAAGAAAACCCAAATCCTCATAACTGGACCAATAGGTAACATCAAGATAAATGGAGAAAAGGTTGAAGGTGATGGCTTGACCCAGTGGTTGCAACATTAGGTTCAAGTATAGGAACGATGGTGAGGAAGGCACAGGACCGGGCAGTGTTTCAGTCTGTTGTGCACAAAGTCGCTCTGGGTCGGAACCGATTCGATGGCAGCTAACAACAACAAGAACATATTTATGGGAAGAGATGAAGCAGCTGTTCAATCTTAGCAGCCCAAACCAGTCCAGGGGCTGCCTGTGGAACAGACCATCAATTGCTCATATGTAAGTTCAGGTTGAAGTTGAGGAAAATTAAAGTACGTCCACAAAAGCCTTGAGTATACCTTACCTGAATTTCAAGAATCTCTCAAGAACAGCGTTGACACTTTGAGCGTGAATGACAAAATACCTGCCAAAAATTCAAGCTGGATTCAGAAGAGGACCTGCCTCAAGGGATATCATTGCTGATGTCAGATGGTGCTTGCCTGAATGCAGAGAATCCCAGAAAGATGTTTACTTGTGTTTTATGGACGATGCCAAGGCATTCGACTGTGTGGATCAGAACAAACGATGGATAGCATTGAGAAGAATGGGAATTCTAGAACATTTCATTGTGTTCCTGTGGATCTGTGCACAGACCACGAGGTGGCTCCTTCAAGCAGAACAAGGGAGTACTACAAGGTTTAAAATTGGGAAAGGTGTCTGTCAGGATTTCACCTTCTCAGCAGCGTTATTAAATCTTGATGCTGAGCAAGTAACTCGAGAGACTGAAAAATAAGAAAAAGAAAACACCATCAAGATTGAAAGAAGGCTGATTAACAACCTGAAATGTGCAGAAGACACAACCTTGCGTACTGAAAGCAAAAAGGACCGAAGCACTTCTGATGGAGGTCAAGGCCTGTCACCTTCTGTCCGGATTACAGCGCAATGTAAAGAGAATGCAAACCCTCACGTCGCACCAATAACCAACATCGTGACAAAGGGAGAAAAGATTGAAGCTGTGAAGGATTTCATTTTTCTAAGATCCACCATCAATGTTCATAAAAGCAGCAATCGAGAAGCCAAAGGGCATATTGCCTTAGGTCAACCTGCTACACGAGACCTGTTTAAAATGTTGAAGACCAAGGATGTCGCTTTGAAGACTAAGGTGTGCCTGACCCAAGCCATAGTATTT